AACATCTTGTGCGATCAATCGGCTCCGGTGGTTTCAGAGTGGCCATTTCCTTGTGTTCATCTATGATTCCGACATTACAAGTGATACGTATGCAGAGTTCGATGCTCCGCTGCCTTCTTAATTATCTTCCCCTCCCCAATTCAGTGCCATGTGGTTCTGCATCCACCCACCATTGTTCCAACCCAATGTTCCTTTGCCGCTTCCTTCACCATGCAAGCATGTTCTTGATGGCCTTGGAATATGCCCCCCACCCGTCGCTAGCCTTCACGAATATTCAACACTAGCTTCTTCGGAGGCCGCATGTGGCCGGTTGACCTCTGCTCCGTGCTGCCCCTGTCCAGATCCAAAGAATGTTCCAGTCTTTTATTTTTCTTTTACAATTGCCCACCCCTCTTAGTTTCTTTTGTTTTAGGAAATACTACTCCTACATGATGCCTGTTCATCGATGGATTATTATGTTGGATTTCACAAGATTTTCTGTAGTTAACTGAGTCATCCATCTCACTATTTTCTGACTTGCTGGGCTTGGTCGGTGGGTGTGAATTGAAGACTATACTAGTCCCGGCGGGGTGGCTTATCAGTCCTGGATGGCTGGATTCATTATTCAATTCAATTAGTTGCAGGTCAATCGTCAACAATGTTCATGGATCATCTGAGATAATAAGAAACTATACTATATGCAAATGCACCACAAATCCTGATTGAACTCGTGCAATGACTGCTGCCTAGTTTTTCTCATCGTGTTTATCCTCAAGAAAAGAGTGAGTATCAGCTTGTCATTTTCATCGCAAGCTGTAGTATAACAGTTCCTGTACAATTCTCCCCACAGGACAGTGAAACCACTTGGCTGCGTGTAGAATCCTCCTGAGATCGACTTCAAAAAGGCAGTAAGGCAGGGAATGAGTGCAACCAAGGTGAAGAGACGTGTGGGCAAGTATGAGCTCGGCCGAACCATAGGCGAAGGCACATTCGCAAAGGTCAGGTTCGCCAAGAACACCGAGACTGGAGAACCGGTAGCCATCAAGATCCTAGACAAGGAAAAGGTCCTCAGGCACAAGATGGTTGAGCAGGTCACTTTCGAAGTACACATGCTCGGAATTATTGTGCCATTTTTTAATGTTTGGTTTGGTGATGTTTCACATCTTCTAGATTACATATGGTCCCTTCCTTCAGATTCTGTCCCCCCTTTAGTGTCTTTATTACTTCTACATAGGGCCAGTGAGCTTAGCATATTTATTCAGAGTTCAGTCAGTAGCTGTTGGTGGAAGTAATTATATTGCTGATGAGAAAACTATATGGTTGAATACAGATTAAGCGGGAAATTTCGACCATGAAGTTGATTAAGCATCCTAATGTTGTTCGCATATATGAGGTAATGCAGAAATTTGTCATACCTTCATAATATTCAAGTTTGATCTTAGAAAGGTTTCAATCACAAAAGAGCCAAGGCAGATATTCCTGCCGTAATCATTTAGCATGCTTATTTTCCTTCCATTGGGGACAATAGCTAATCTTTGACAAGTCAATGTTTTCAATAATATTCAGGTGATGGGAAGTAAAACAAAGATCTACATTGTGTTAGAGTATGTTACTGGCGGCGAGCTTTTCGACGCAATTGTAAGTGACATTCACACTATCCATTCCAGTGTCCACAAATTTCAGTTTATCACTAAAAATTTCCATATTTTTTTTGTGTGTGTGTTATAAAGGCTAACCATGGTCGAATGAGGGAAGACGAGGCGAGGAGGTACTTCCAACAATTAATCAATGCAGTTGATTATTGTCATAGCAGGGGTGTGTACCATCGGGATCTAAAAGTGCGTTCATTTTCTCTGTGTTCTTTTTTCTTTGCATTTAATAACTCTATTTCAGAATCTAAACCATGATACTTGCAGCCAGAAAATTTACTGCTTGACTCATATGGAAATCTGAAGGTCTCTGACTTTGGGCTGAGCGCGCTATCACAGCAAATCAAGGTAATGACTTCTTGCCTATATGCCTCTAAGTTGCCAACGACTTTTGAGTAACAATAGGTCAAAAGTTCATACCTTTTGTATTAACAGACAATTATAGCCTTTGATGTTTGAAAATTTTCAGACCCCGCTACATACTTTTAAGCATGTTCCTTGTCTCCTTTTTCTTGTTCAGGATGATGGATTGCTGCACACAACTTGTGGGACTCCAAACTATGTCGCACCAGAGGTAATGCACAGAAAACAATATAAAGTGAACCCATAACTGATTTTATTGCATCTATGTTTCATTATGACTATGGTAGTTCAAATACTCTGATCACCTTTGTTGTAGGTCCTAGAAGACCAAGGCTATGATGGTGCAATGGCTGATTTGTGGTCATGTGGAGTTATCCTGTTTGTTCTGCTAGCTGGGTATTTACCTTTTGAGGACTCTAATCTTATGACGCTGTATAAGAAAGTGAGCATTGCACGGATTTGAGATCACTAATGTAGCCTTGCTTATTCACTCTTATTTGACTTTATCCTTCTATTCCTGGCAGATCTCAAATGCAGAATACACATTTCCACCATGGACGTCTTTTCCTGCCAAGAGGTTGTTAACAAGAATCCTTGATCCAAATCCAATGACGGTATGCAAGAGCACAAAAGCTGCTCGAAATAAAATACTACCAAAACAATCTAGGAATTTTGGAAACCTTAAAAGTCCCTATTGCACTTACTAGCACATAGCCAATGAGAGATGTATTTGGGAAAATTTCTTTTAGGAAAGTATAGACAACATGCATATATCAAAATGAAACTATTTGTGTGAGGAAAGAGTTGCAACCTCCAGTCAAGGAGGCAAAGTTGCAACTGGATTGTGGTTCATCTTCACCATGAGGATGTGCTGAGTCTGGTTTGAAGAAGGATGAGCCTTCATAATTCTATCTTGCTCCATAACATCTGACTAATGTTTTGGTAAACCATGGCAGAGAATAACAATCCCTGAAATACTGGAGGATGAGTGGTTCAAAAAGGGCTACAAGCGCCCGGAGTTTGACGAGAAATATGACACACCATTGGATGATGTGGATGCAGTCTTCAATGATTCAGAAGTGAGTAAATGGTGCATTTCTATTTTCTATCTCATGCAAAATGTCACAGATATTACTTACAGGCTACTTTTCCAATTGTTATTTGACCTCATTCAGGAGCACCACGTGACAGAGAAGAAAGAAGAAGAACCCGTAGCTCTGAATGCATTTGAACTGATTTCAAGATCAGCAGGCCTAAATCTTGGGAACCTATTTGACTCGGAGCAGGTATGAAATGCTCCTGACTCCTCTATAGTAACCTGGAATGTTGAAAGTGAAATGTGTGACAAGCTTAAGTCACCATGATTTTCTAAGGACATAGCCTCATGGCTGTTATATGAACTTGAATTTCCTTTGTTTTTCTTAGTTTATTTTTTTTCTAATTATCATGCTTCTGCAACTTACTTTGCAGGAATTCAAAAGAGAAACAAGGTTCACATCAAAATGTCCACCGAAAGAAATTGTACGCAAGATTGAGGAAGCTGCAAAACCTCTAGGATTTGGTGTTCAGAAGAAAAATTACAAGGTTCCTCCCTGCAACTCTATAATAACTGATTATTTTGATATATTCTTGAAGTCCTGACTTCTTGATAATAAGTACTAAAGCTTTAAAAGGATCATTCTGCGCCCGCCATTCTGAAGTTCTCTTTTATTGTGTGACCAGTTGAGGCTCGAGAAAGTAAAAGCAGGGAGGAAGGGAAACCTCAATGTTGCTACCGAGGTTATAAAAAATCATGAACTGCAAATAGTCTAAGAAAACTTCTTGTAGGGTTGTACCTAACATTTATTATGTATTTTTCATTCAGATACTGCAAGTTGCACCCTCTCTTCATATGGTAGAAGTCAGAAAAGCAAAAGGTGACACTCTGGAATTCCAAAAGGTATACCTTGCATGCAAAAGATCATGCCAATAAAGGAAACACACGTATTCTTGTACTGAAGAAGTTACTGAAATTCACAATTTTACATTTTTGTTCTTTTAGTGCCTTTTCTTATTTAGGAGGAAATTTAGCACCTTTCCTCTGAACAATATTGTTACTTAACTGTTATTTTACTGTAGTTCTACAAGAACCTTTCCAAGACCTTAAAGGACGTTGTCTGGAAATCTGAAGATCTGCAAATGCAACCTGCTTCTTAGCATCCACTTGGGAAGGAAGATGGCAAACTACTTGTGTTCCATCTTCCAAGCAGATTTCGCTTTCGTAGTCTGGGTCTACAGTTTTGTTCACTGCGCTCTGTGTACCAGTGGGTGGCTTGGCATTTTCAGAGATTGCGTTGCTCGTAGCCGGGATGAAGCCTATGCTATTCAGTAGGTTTTGTGAATATGGTGAGTTTTGTAAATCAATATGCCTATAAGTCATGTTGTAAGCTGCAATAATATGATCAGGAAACTGTGAAATGTAGAAGCCAAGTATGTTCTTTCTATGCTGCCCCATTTTCCGGCACTTTCCATGCATTCTGAATGAAGGAAAAAAAAAGGGGCAAACTCATTGATATTTGTATTTGGCCATCATTTCATTTTTCAGGCTTGTCTCTGTAAATTGGGAGCCTTTTCTTTTTGGCTCCTCTCTGTACGCTATTCTTAAATGCGATGAAGTTCGTTATAAAAAAACAGCATATACAAATGAGCGACTGCCGAATTTTCCAAAACGAACAAAGCCGGCAACAGACTGCCAACCACGCTCTACGAAGGCTGTCGTCCTTCTTGTCTATGTTATCATGCAGCAACCATCGGTTGATAACTTGATATATGTTGGGTCAACTACCATCCAAGATGCTGGCAAAAGCATGCACATATTAAATCTTATCATATATCATAGAATGTTAGCCAACCAAAATTTTCCCATCATGCTGAAACATAACACACTCAACACAAATGTGAACTAACACTCAGGATACACCACTGCATAAACCTGGAATTATAAGCTGGGAGCCCTGCTAACAGAAACACCTATGGCTCAGCAGATGCCATTGCTGTATCAGTGTTGCCAGGAATGGTTGTATCAATGTTGCTAGGCATCAACACGTTGAAACCGTCAATTGCCGTTGATATGATCATTGACGGTATCTGTGGGTGCCAGTGCAGTTCTTTCAAGTCTCTCTGGCCCTGCTCATACAAAACAGTCAGTGTCATGTGATTCACTCTTTACAAGCAACAAAACTGTGCAAGAAAAATGATACAACCACAAAAGATGACGCCACAAGTCAGTTAATTTCCAATGGCATCATAAGGAGTAATACCTGATGAGCAAAAAGAAGTTGTGGGGGCAAATCTTCAGGTGCATTTGCCTGCTCTTTCATCTTCGCTCTGAACTCAGCCTCCTCTTCCGCATCTCTTTCCAATGAAAGGTCCCAAATTCTAAATCCAGACAATTCAGGAGAGGTGTCAGCAAATACTAGACATTTCAGAAATCCAGTGCATCTAAAACATGAATGAGGGAAGGTAAAGAGTGAGTTACGTTAGTTGATGATCTTCAGATGTTACAGCCAATGATGATGCTTCATGTGGACTCCACTCGATAGATGTAATTGCTTTCTTGTGGTACTCAAAGTGTGCTACCAACGAGTCCTCCTGCCAGAGTGCCAGTATGGCAGAGAGCACAAGAAAAGATTCACATGATATACTAAGTACAAAACCAAAAGTATTATCAGCAGTACAAATTGCCAAATATGTCAAGATAATCTGGGTAACACAACAAGGGTACTACCGTGCAAGTCAGCTGCAATGATTTGTGCACAGTGCACTGTTTACATACTAACAGTAACAAAACAATATCTACTGTAGGATATTTCTAACTTCAAAATTGAGTAGCAAAAGCATAGCTTATCTATTTTTTTTCCACGAGATGGTTTAGTGATTTACTAATAGCTTAAGAACACCTTCCTTCTAAAAAAAAGCTTAAGAATACCCAGTCATGTGTAATTCTTCCCATATATTAGAGAGTCAAATAGAAACCCAACTTGAAATGAATTATAAAAACACAAATTCGTGAAAATGTCATAAGTTAGCTACATTCCTGAAACTCAAAAGCATAGAAAATTGCGATTTATCAGGAAAGAAATACCTGAATTGATCTAAGATCACGAACTGAGAAACTGCCATCATCACACCCAGAAGCTATCATGCAGCTAGCAAGCCTGACAAAGCAGGTCAAAATGCGTGTAAAATAGTATGCAGCAGAAGTTATAGTACTAATAAAATCAATAAAGTTTCCCACTCAACATACCTGTTCCATGAGATAACATTCACATCAGCTTTATGAGCTTTGACAGAAATACAAGGTTTCTTCCCTGTACGTATATCCCATATTGATATCGTACCATCAACAGAACAAGAGGCAAATATGTCGGCTTCTGTGGGACTCCACTGCAAGCATATAGTGATTAAAGTTGAGACAATCACATTCAAGGAAACATGTGAATAGGTAGATACATCATTCAGTGGCATGCCTGTAGATCTTCAACACTTGCAGAGTGTCCAACAAATGGGTTTGCATCTACGTTCCAGTTGCTTGAAGTCGGTTCCCATAGGTGAATGCACTTATTGCAGTCACCTGCATAGAAAAAGCATTAATCCATGTGAAATTGAGGATGTCTATATACGAAATTAAATGATATTGATGATTTATTTTTGATATGGAATAGAGGGAACCACATGATGCATAAAGTTCTCAACTATGGAAACATTCTAAACATTATAGCAGATGACAAACATTGTGAAATGGACAAGATCAGATACACACCAGAAACAAGTCTTCCAGTAACAAGTGGACTCCAATCAATGGCATATCCCTCATCTTTATGGCCGCTAAATACTTTCACGGGTAAGTGTTTGTGGATTATGTCGTCTTCTTTGGGTGCAGTTGTCCCTGACTCTGCTAAAGAATTAAGGAAGGAGCTCAAGTCCCACACCTGCACATTTAGCAACCAGAGATCAGTTAGCAATGCACAATGGTTTTCAAAGGAAATAGAATATGCACATATAAGATCCATTCTGTTACTAAGCAACTAGAAAAGGGAAATGATGTACAGGTTTAGGCAGCCAACGATCACAGCAAATGAAAAAGGAATGAGGTAAGAACTGAATCACCTGAACATGACCAGTATCTCCCCATGTAGCACATATATGTGGTTTTTGAGTCATTGAGCGTATGCGATTTACACATCCCGCATGAGCCACCTTTTTTAGCTGGTACATTCAAATATAGCAACAGAAAACATCACTACATCAACATAGCTTGCTGGTATTGAAAAAAACTTGAATTTTTGTGGCTAAGTGTAGAGTTGTGATTTCGGTAATGAAAAACATACGTGTAGGATGGGCTTTGTATCCTCATTAATTTCTTCATCTTCCTCATCACTGCTGCTGTCGCTATCCACATCAGTGTCGCCATCAACTGCTGAAGCTGGTATAGGTTCCCGCTTCTTCCCAATTATGTTAGAAAGCTTGAAAACGCCAATATAATTCCATGAAGCTTTCTCAGCCTGAACAAACATGAGTTAACTCTTGACTCAGAGACAAACTAGAGTGTACTCTTATAAATGATTATTTACAATTCCACCAAATATTATGTCATTCCTTTAAGCAGAAATGTCCAGAGAGTAAGATCTATACATCAAACAAAGATGCCACATTTATGCTTGTATTAATCTTTTAACAATCCAAATTCACTTACTTGCAATCCACCAGAATTTCTAGCAACAATCATGATATAAATGCGACAACATGAGTTTAGCTCTTAACTGAGAGAGAAACTAAATTTTACTGTCAGAAATGAGATTTACAATTACACCAAATCTTATGTCGTTCCTTTGAGCTGAAATGTCCAGAAAGAGCAAGATCGGATGCATCAAACAAAGCTGTCACTTTTATGCTTGTATTAGTCTTTCAACAATCCAAATTTACTCACTTGCAATCCATCACAATTTCTAGCAACAGTAATGATATAATATAAATGCAAGTGAGAGCTCACAAAAAGTTTTTGGCATGGCTTTTCTGAGATTAAAATCAGCAATGGCACACTTTTTCAATCCAAAACATCTTAACAGGAAGAACAGTACAAATTAATTCATGTGTAAGTTGCAATTTAGATAGCAAAAAAACACAATGTGATAGACATCAAAAGCATTTCAAGATTTGATAGTAACAATGGCTAGTTTTTGCGAAAAAGCAATGCCTAGGTTTTGAAAGGTAAAGATTAATGCAACCTGCGTTCCAGCAGCACCATAGAATGTATGGGGGAACTCTGAACGGATGAGTCCAAGTTGATCGTGCACAACATCAAAACTGCAACGGAAGGTTTTATTAATTGAAAGCAGATAATATTTTGTCCTGACTCCTGAAGTAAGCATAAAAAAGGGGGAAAAACAGCTCTATGAGGATAACCTTTACCTCAAGCAAGACCAGCCAATGCCAAAACCTCGGAGATAATTGTAAGCCTCGGGATCAAACTGCAGCTCCTCCCCATCTTCCAGTGCATCTACACCCGGTTGCCAGACCTAAAATGAAGCACTGACCGGTTCAGTATAGCTCACACACTGAAACAATATGCATCATCTTATACAAAAGGAGCAATCCGAAAACTCTAAGCAGAAAAGGCGATTCATTTAGACGCAGCTTGAGGAGCAAACAACACTATCTCGGCTGCGCGAAGGGGAAAACCACACAGAATAGGATCGACTATTACTAAATTCTTCCTCACCTTAGCCGGACCAGAGGCAACCGCAGGATTGGACGACGAGGACGTTTCAGTTTTCTGCAGGCCAGAAATACAAAAGAATTAGTCAAGTATAAAGCAAAGAACATGCTGAAGAAATCAGGAAAAAGGTGAAACCACAGCAATCGGAGCTCCAGAAATAATCGTATCACTATCTATCAGGTACGGTACCTTCTTAGACTTCTTGGATTTGGCCTTCTTGGCCTTCTTGATGTTGCGACCCATGAGGGAAGGAAACTTACTGACTTCTGCAAACTAGGGCGGCCGGAGCTGCAACTGCGAGGGAGCGAGAGGAGGCGGCGGAGGGGCGGTGGAACTCGGTGTTGGCGGCGGCCGTGGCTAAGCACCCAAACCCCACCGTTTCGGCAGAAAACTTCGCGTTCCCTCCGTTTAGACGGGCCGGGAGGCTCGGGGTGGGCCGGGAGGACGTTACTGGCCTGCAAATCATTATGGGCTCGGAGGCGGGCGGAGAGGCCACGGTGGCGGGCGGCGCGGCCCAGCAGGCGCCCCGCGCGGCCCCGGTGCCGGGCGGCGCGGCCTCGGTGCCGGGCGATGCGGCCACGGAGGAGGGCGACGCGGCCACGGACGCACGCATCGACGGGCTGCTGCACACGTTCGGCTTCAGGTACGTCATGTGATCTTCTAATTAAATCTCTGCACCTGATCCATATTGCTTTTTTCCACTAATCTTGGCCTCCGTCCAGCATCTATTTGATTGGAATTGATTTGAACTGCCACAAACTAAACACTTTGTTAGCCTAAGAAGGTAACTGGAGGATAAAGCTTCACTTTGCCACTAGATATCAGATGACAATGAAGTATAGCTGATTTTTGGTATAAATAAAAATAAAAGTTGCCTGTTTCTGTTTGATGAAAATTAAGTTCTTATGATTGCTCCCTGAGATTTATTTCTCATTTTCAGTATGTATGAATATGAACATCCATTTTATTTCAATTATTAATTTACAAGATGGGTCTCATAGAATGCCTCAACATTGTCTCTCGATTTGAGGTTCCATAACGTGAAGGTGTTGGATGTTGCCACTGCCCCCAGATGATGATATGCCCCAAACAGGATTCCATTGATAGCTCAATGTTCATTGCTTTGTCCTTATGAAGAACCATGGTCGTGCAAAGTCATACCCATGTTTTTAACAAGGCCTTTCAGCAATGCATGCAGCCCCACTAATGCTAACTACCATGCTATTAGATTCTTCTTCCCTTAATAATCATCATAGATTAATGTATCATTGCAGACTTTGATCAACACGGGGAATCAGCGCCCTCGCCGACCACGCTCGCATCGACAGGCTGCTGCACACGTTCAACTTGCTGTTGTCAAGTTAAAGGGCAAAAGGAGGAAGAAAGAAGTAGATAAAAACGCTGCAAAAAATCTTTTCTTGCAGCTTGATAGCCCTGCAATGGCCACAAGGAGCAAAAGACTTCAGCCTAGTAGTCCTGCACTGAGCACAAGAAGCAAAAGAAGGCTGAGTTTGTGATTCCTGTATGAGAAAGTTGCCTAATGTGTGTTGTATTAGAGATATCTGTGTCATGTAATGGATGCAAACCTGTGAGATTTTTTCTGTGCATGTGAACCTGTATGTTACTCCTATTGTGATCATGGATGCTAAATCTTCTAGTTATCTCAAACCTGTGACAATGTTTCAAAATAAATGTGTTATTGTCATGCTGCATGTCATCTTATGAATTTGGATGTTGTTGGAGACCTCATTTTATTGTTGTGTTTCATGTACCTGAAGGATTGATATTGAACTGTATATTATTATAAGTAATTATATAAGATGATATTAGTTCCTTTATTTATTTAACACAAGCAAAAAGTGAAACATAGCAGTTCCAGATAAAAACATTCAAAAAAAAATATCAATATCAACCATGGAATGTCATGAATGTTAAAAAAACTCTAGTGATAAAACAGACATTTCTCCTAGGATTTAACACCATTAGCCGTCAAACCGACGAAAATGTTAAATAGGAAAGAAAAACTTGAGTGGAGGATATATAGGAAAGAATTTCAGTTTCAGTGCCACTAGGAGAGGAGCATTATTTCCGGTGTCAAATAGGAAATTTTCTCAAAAAAAATAAGGCAGGTTCGCTCTTGAATTCATGATTAACAAACAGCATTTTTTTTATTTCACAAAGAGGCATCACATCACACACAAATTCCTGAAGGTTGCCAGAGTGAAGTACAGACAGGACCTCGTCGCAGCTGTCCCACTTCTCAAATCGATTGTCTAAACATTTTTCCAATGTACATATTCAAATCGGGCAACCTGAAGATGGCTGTGTTTAGAACAGAATGTATAAGGAGCAGCTCAGGACTCTTGGATCCTTCCCAAACTTGATTGGAAGGCACTAGCGTGTCCGGACGTTCGATTGTTCGAACCCAGCAGTGTGTCCGGACGCAGCTCCACACCTGTACGATCCATAGTAGCCCGTTCGATACGATACGAGTGACTCGTCCCAGCCTTCCCATAGTGCGCCCGTCCACAAGCGCGGCGCGTGCCGGCCCCAAACCCGCCCCGTCCGCAGCCCCCGGCGTGCTGCGCGCCCCGTCTACAACCCCAGGGCGCCGCACGCCCCGCCTTCCGGCCCCAGCGCGCCCCTTCCGCAGGCCCCCGGGCTCGCCGCGCCCCATCCCCCGGTGTCCGGGCTGTGCCCCCATGACTCTCTGAACATATGTCTGAAACATGAAACACTTGCGACATGAAAACGCTTGAATGCAACATACATCTGAAGAAGATGAAACATTTGGAACATACACATGCAACATATGTGTGAAATATATACAACATCCATATTAAACACTTGCAACATGAAAACACTTACTGCAACATAAGATTGAAACATTTAGAACATACTGTTGCAGCATATGTATGAAACATATGCAACATTTAGATCAGAATGCTTGCAACAAACGTCTGGAACAATGAAATATTTTGAACAAACGCCTGCAACATATGCAACATCCCTGATCTACTTTTGCAACATCCATATAAAATAATTACAACATACCTCTGAAACGTTTGAAACACTTGAAACATGCATTGCAACATAGGGGAGGGGAGGACTGGCCGGTCAATTCTGGTCGTCGGGGTGGGAGCCGGCGGCGAGCGGCGGCGTGCGACCACCACCAGCATCTGGTCGTGCTCATGGGTGCCCAAGGCTCGGGCGGTAATGACCCGAGGCACCCCGGCACGTGCGCCCAGCGGGCATCAGAGGGGTGGCGGCAGCGAGGCATCTCGGCGGCATTGGGGGGGCAGCGCTCTTCTGTCATTGGACGCGAGATAGAGAGCGAGATATGGGGAGAGCAGAGGCAGCGCGTGGGATGGGGGCGCCCCGAGGGATGGCCGTGGCGGGCGGGCCACGCAACGGGCAGGCTACGCGATGCGGGGGTCGAATCCGCATAGACCGGGCGCATGACGGGCGGGCCGAGCGACGGGAGGGTGCAACTGTCGTGGACGAGGCGTGCGTCGCAGGCTGGAGTGAGCATCATGGGCAGAAGCGGCGAGGCGAAGTGTGGCGCATGGCATCCTCTGCGTGGGAGCATTATCGAACCTGATTAGGAAGATACGTGTTGCGTCTCAGTGATAGTACAACTAGATCAAGTTTGCTAATTAAACAGACATTTATTATTTTTGGATTTTGGACTAATCAGACGTCTTCAGTAGTGTACAACTGACTACAGTCATGTTGCTTTTTTTCTTGCTTATGCTTGATCAACTGTAAATATGTCCCAAGGTACATTCATTTTCATAATGTCTTCTAGCCATAACACTACTACTTTGGCAATGCAGGTAACACCAGAAAGGGCTCAAAGGTGGATATCAGCCCAAGGAGCTGCACCAGATTCAGCACCATGAACACCACCCGATCACCTACACATTCAGCAAAACCATGAGTATGCACAAGTTCCTCTTGCCTGTCAACTCTCATAAGAAAATATCATACCTAAAAAATTTGTGCTGAACAGTAAGATGGCAAGCTCACCATGTAAATAAAATGGATCTTGATGCAAGTTAATAGTAATATTGATAGTTTACCTGGCAGGAAAGCAGCATCTTGACGTTTTTGTGCCCATGAGAATCTGTATGGCCCATATGCATTCAGAGTTAGAATAGACAGTTAACTAGCTGAATGCTCATAGTGAACACATATGTCCATCATCAGAAACTAAGAACATTCTACCGGGTTAACTAGCTGAATGCTGGATACTCATGTATTGTTTGAAAAGGAGAGAGAAATAATGACTTACAGAGCCCCTGCACCTACTGGAGCAATTGACTTGAAGAATGACATTGCAGTTGTTGATATACCATTTGCGGTGCCTCTTTGTTCTTGGCACTGGAATTTAGTTTCAGATATATTACATTGTTTTGTTTGATTTGTGTAAGCATACTATCCCAAAAATAAATGATTCACTTGAGTTCATACGTACCACAGCATTATTCTGTAGAAGGGAAATTCCTGTGTTGACAGTGATCTGTATATGTTGCAAAATAAGATTATGTAGACTTAAATACTATTAAATTATGGAAAACTACTTCTATTCATTTGCCACTACTTTGGCTTAGTTGTTCAGAAAGTTATCATTTATTAATTTGAACTATAAAGAAACAATTGAAAGAAAAAAGGCTTACCGCAAGAGCACTTCTCATCATGGCAGCAGAATAAAGAGCAAATGAAAGTTTCACTCCCGATAGGTATGTCATAAAGGGATAAGTTGCAAGAACAAGTATAGACACAGCCTGCAACACCATAGTTGAAATTTAAGCTATGATCATAAATATACTTTTTATTTTTTTATTTTTAAAGACACAATAGGTGACAACTCACAGATGCAATACGTGATGAGTTCACTGCTCCAAGAATTTTATGAACCCAGCGATAAATGATAAGCTGGTATACTAGAAGACTGGCACCTGAAATGTAGGGAGGAAATTAAGCCCCAGTTATAAAGAAAATGAAAGGAGAAATCCATATCAGTGTCTATACATGCACACACGCACACCGTACTGCAAAAATCCGCCTTCAAGATTCAGGAACAAATAAAATTCACCTATGAGCCAGAGGGCAGACGGATGGAATACCTGCCATAGCAAAAACCTGACCAATATCTTCAGTTGAGAAGCTAAGGCCGCCATACTTCCGATCGCTCACAGCCCACAAGGAAAGTATCTAGTATTGAAAGATGTACATTACAAGATGAAATTAAGTAGTTAAAGCAGTACTAGACAGACAAGATGTTTCAACTCATGAGGAATATAGGCTTACTGAAATATCATTTAAAATTTAAAACACCCCACTGAGTAGCAATATACTAAGTAAGACAGGGATTCTGAGAGACTGATTTTTTTACCTCACTATATGCTGTGTCATGAAGACTAAAAATGCAGTAAGGTAGCATAGTTGATATCCAAGGCCTGTTCTGGAGCAAACTCTTCTTCTTGCGAGGTGGATCCCAATAACCCTCTTCTGATGACAATGCTTTAAATATTTTGGTATCCATTTCGGGAACTTTATGTTTATGTATAGTCTCCTGTAATACAGTCACAATAATATTTGTAATAATAATAGCTTAACAGTGTGTCTTGAATGAAGTTAAGTAAATACTATTTATTGTTTTGTCAGTGTAGCATAGAATACATGGCAAGCATATTTTTTACAAAAATGACACTAGTCCACTTCAGTAGTTGACATCTTGGGCAGAGCACTCATGCTGCATGTTATGTTTATTGTTTGGGGAAAAAAACTATAGCAACAACAGAGTCTTTCAGTCCCAAACAAGTTGGGGTAGACTAAAGTTGAAATCTACTAAGAGCCTCAAGTCATGGTTTAGGCACTTCAATAGCTGCTTTCCAAGTACTCCTATTCAAACATAGATCTCTAGGTATATCCCAAGTTTTCAAATATCTTTTTATTCCCTTCCCCATATCAATTTCGGTCTTCCTCTACCTTCCCTCGTATTATTAGCTTGGCTTAGGACTCCACAATGCACTGGTGCCTCTGAAGGTCTCCTTTGAACATGGCCAAACCACCTCAACCGATGTTGGACAAGCTTTTCTTCAATTGGTGCTACCTCTAGGCGATCACGTATATCATCGTTCCGAACTCGGTCCATTCTTGTGTGACCGCAAATCCATCGCAACGAAACAAAAAAAAACTATAGCACACAAAGGCAAAAATGTAACAGATACTAGTGTTAGTGTTTCCTAAAGGAAATTTAAATGATCAGAGCTTTGGTTAGGTTAAAGTGTTACATACCGGAAGCCATTCACAGCTTATGAGGACAATTGTAGCAAATGCTGATACACTTAGACAGGGTAAAAGATATGGAAATCTGCAAAATCCAATTAATTGAGCTATGATAATCTGCAATGTGCACCATTAATTCCTAGCAATTTGTAATTCCTTAATAGACAATATGTGCTGTGCTTGAACGATTTACCTGCCAAAGACAGAATCTTTGGAAAATATGTGAGGATATTTCTCAGTTGGCTGTGAAAAAAAGGATACTGCAGTAAGAAAATGAGATATTTTTCTTTTATTTTATTTTCTTTTTGAACTGGTACCTGTGAAAGGTAACCTCAAGAGCTGGACCCACAATAAGACCCAAAGCCCATGCCGTGTTCACCTATGATTGAAGTACACTCAGTTGGACAAATCTTCAAAATGAAAGAGTTATGTGGGTAAACAGTAAAGAGCTTGGTTGATGAGATTACAATTGAGAGTCCAAGTGCCTGATGTTCGGTTTGACAAACTTCAACGCAATATGCCTGAAATGGTTAATAAATGTAACCTCTAATTTAGCATACTTGTTTTATAATTTTAAACACATGAGTTGCAATCTAGATGACTTTATTGGAACTGGTAATTTAGAAGTACCTTTATTGGGGCAAGCAGGCCATTTAGAGCACCCAGCACAAGTCTTGTAGTAATTGCCATCCAATACGTTGTACTTAGACCAAATAATGTGTTAAATATGACCCTACAGAACGCATGCATGTGGGTAGATGAAACTGAGTCTTTCTGCATCAATATAGAAATCCAAATCCTAGATGATCTGACACTTGGAATTTCTGTAATACATACACAGACAAGATTGAAAATGCGATGACAGGCTTCCGTCCAATACGGTCTGCGAGAATGCCCCAGAAAATTGAAGAAAAGCCTCTGCCCACCATGTATGATGCAGCTACAATTAATTGGAAACAGTGGCATAAGTATTTCACCTTTTACTTTATTTTCTACAATATTTGTACTCCATTTTCGGAGCATATATTTGCCTAAAATTGTAAATCGATTATGAGGCGAAAACCATACCAAGAAAACCAGCATAAAATCCAATATCTTCCTCTGTTTTAGCAATGTGGAAGTCCCTTACCTGTATGAAATTAAAAGTGGGAAAAGAGAGATCACTAATGAGCAATGAGCATAAGCTAGACAACATAATGATCCATTTAAGTTAATTATGGCATTAGGTTGAGTGACTTCAGACTGAGGAAACTGCTTGGCTGTGGAAATATAATATCCTCACAACAAAATGCACATGCATATGTTTGCAAAGACCCAAGCCTAGCTAGACTGGAACACATTCAGTGTAGCATATAGTTCTACATTAATGACTAGATAAGAGGACATGACATACCATGAAATACAGGAAGGGGAAGAGGCACGTGATTGGCAAAGCTGAAAAAAGGCACAAAGGGGAAAAAACAAAACTTTTGTCAGAGCCAGATCTGAGAACGCCGCAACGTTCTCGATCGATCGATCGATGGAGTAAAAAGTAGTAAAGCACATGCAGGTAGGATGATGCAGAGATCAGAAAGGTAGGCAGGCATGTTCGTTATTAGTCTCAACGTGAACAAGCTGGCTAATGTTGGACGCTCTCACTACAAGATACTGAATAGTTGCTGCACAATCTTTTGTTTCAGAAATTCCCTCTTCGTCTTCAGTAAAAGCAACACCATGGGCTCCTGTTGGGAGCCTCATCCAGCTAGCTCCTGTGACTCTGAGTCTAATATACATGCCTGAACGTGATGTTGGATCTCAGGTGGAATATAATGCAGACAAGTTTTCTGACGGATTAATGAAGTATGCTGAGTTTCAGCCTTTGCTTTTTCGCTATGAACAGCTATCTCACTGATGTTATATATTAGTATTATTCCGCTGGAAGCATCAGATCAAGACTGAAGGTGGTGGAGGAGCAGCTACGAGCCTACGACGACATGGGTCCTACCTCTAGTGTTTTTGGATCTTGGCACTGGTACTTGGCAACATTCTATACATGCATATGCATGCATGTTAGCCGTTTGAGTTCCTGTCATAGGTGGGGCACATACATGCTGGCATCCCACCTTTTGTTTCTTCCGTCGTCCATGTCTCCAGCGACGCTCATCTCCGTCGCCGGCGGACCAGCGAGCGGCCGGGGGAGGCATTCTCTGACGACCGAACTAGCTCAACGGCCCAGATCGCTTGAAGCGGATTTTCGCCGGCAACCGATTTTCGTGCTTCTGGTTGGCTTCTCCAACTTCTCCTCTGCTTCTCCCAAATTCTGAGAAGCAAATATATACCCAGCTTCTGCTTCTTCTTCCCGATTCTTTTCTGGCCCCCTTCTCTCTCTCGTTACTCTCTCGATACATCATACATGCACAGCAACAGCTATAGTGCTGGCACAGCAGAAACCAAGCCCGCTTGTGTTGTGTCAGCGCAAGTCATCAACTAGGTGTGAATTTTGTGATACAGGTAAGTTGTCTGAATGTAAATCTGCATGTCTAGTGAAGAACTAAACCAAATCCCCAGTTGATGACCAGATGGCATTATACTGTTTGAATTGAATGCAAATGCACTATCACTAATGCTGCAGAAGCATGTCTGTCAGTCTGTCACTGTCAGTCACTCAGTTGTTGGTGAGTAGAGATGGATGGAGGTGCATGCATGCAACAGACGGGTACGTACCTGAGGCGAGGGAGGTGACGCCGACGAAGAACAACTCCTTGTAGGGGATCCTCCCGTTGCTGCTCGCCTTCCGCCGCTCCATCGCGCACCCGGGGCAACCCTCCACCGCCGGCGCCGGCACCGGCACCAGCAGCGGCGCTTTTTCCTCACTGTCCATCTCGATGCCTTCTTCTTCTGCTTCCGGTCGTCACCTGGCCTGCTAGCTCTGCTCAAAAACCAACACCACACACTGATCTCACGGAAGCAGCTCAGCCACTGAAGCTGTCTCTCGGCGCTCCTCTATATGTTATATGCTCTGCTGTGCCTGTATTGCCGTCCTTATGTTCTGTTCCATTCCAACAACCGTCCGATCGATCTATTGCACGACGCCTAGCTAAGTTCCAACTTCTCAAGATCATTAAACGAGATCTGATCAGCTGAAAAAAAAACTAGCTAGTCTCCTTTCATTTTTCTTTCTTTCTTTCTTTGGAGCGAACGAATGCAAGTCTTTGGCCTTGTTTAGATACACTCAAAATTCCAAGTTTTTTCACTCTCTCTCCATCACATCAATTTTTAGCCGTTTGCATGGAGCATTAAATGTAGGTAAAAAAAATAACTAATTGCACAGTTTAGTTGAAAATCACGAGATGAATCTTTGAGCTTAGTTGGTCCACAATTGGACAATATTTACCAAATAAGACGAAAGCGCTACTATTCATCAGGTTGAAATTTTTTTCAATCTAAACAAGGCCTTTGTCTACAAACAAGAAAATGCATCCGCAATTGTATTGTATTTATATATGACGGAACGGCCAGTTCAGTGTTCAGTCAATCAGTCACAATATATTAGTAAGAAGAACAAAGAAAATCAAATCAGACCAGATGAGCACGTACGGCAGAAATGTGACTAATCTACTGTACCTAAATAGGTGGTTACCCCGCTAATAGATTCCTCTGCAATTTCAAGAACACTAATGCTCCACCACAGACGTCCGTTCCGCGTCGGCCAGTCCGAACGACGCTGCTAGCTAGACTACGGACTGACCCATAGACATGCTTCCCTCGTTGGCATACACGATTTCTTCAAAAATAATAATAAAAAGAGAGCGACATCTTATCTTCCCTATTTCGCATCGGCTCCACCGCACCGCCCGTCCCTTTGGCCGTGTACGCGACGAAGCTCTGCTAAGCGCCAGCGTCCGCGACGCGGCGCCATCGCCCGTCCACATACGCCTGGCGTTGAGCGCCACCGCTAGCCGCGACGCCGACGAAGCTCCACCGGCCGCCCCCCCCGCCGTGGTGAGGGAGACCGCCACCACCTCCACCACCGGGTCGGACACTGGTTGGTGGTCGAAGAAGACCTCCGCCTCCGTCCCAAATTTCGGCGAGGCCGGGTGTGGAGCTCGCCCACGGACATCTCACGCGCCTACCCGGATTCGCCGTGGCGGGCGGCGCGAAGTCGCCACAGTGCAACCCGCGACGGCCGGGATAGAACTCCACATGCCGACGAGGTTCCATTCTCTCAAGCAGTAAGGAGATGTTGTGCTGAAATTGCATGTTGCAAGCGTCTATTTCAAGTGTTTCAGATGCATGTTGCAAATATTTTATATCGATGTTGTAAAAGTAGATCGGAATGTTGCACATGTTGCAATGGTGTTTTCAAGCGTATGTCCCAAATGTCTCATCTGTTTCAGACGTATGTTGCAAGTGTTTCATCTGATGTTACAAAAGTAGATCTAAACGTGGCATATACATGCATGCTGAAAAAAACGTATGTTGCAAGTGTTTTATCTGGATGTTGTATATGTTTTGCAATGGCTACAAACGTGTTTTCCTGGTGTGCCAGTATGTTGCAAGTGTTTTATCTGGATGTTGTATATGTTTTGCAATGGCTACAAACGTGTTTTCCTGGTGTGCCAGACATATGTTTCAAGTGTTTTAATTGTTTCGGACGTATGTTGCAAGTGCTTTATCTAAATGTTGCAAAAGTAGATCCTGGTATTACACATGTTGCAGTGGGACCCATTTGCAGCAGCCACTTGCTGCAGTTGTTGGGCCCGCCTGCATGCGCGTGGGTGTGGAGGGACGCCATGGTACGGGAACGGGCACGGGACACGAAGCGCACAGGGCCATGGTACGGGCACGGGACATGAAATGGCGTGGGCCACGGTGCGGGTGCGGGAGATGGTGTGAACGCGGGACATGGAGTGGCACGAGCCCCCACGTGAAGGAGGCGCAGCAGGCGCGAGCGTCCGAACGCCAGTCCTGTATGTGTGGACATCCGGGTGCTAGAGGTTCCGTTTGAAGAAACCCAAGGGCTTGCTTGTCTCCCACACCTGCCCACCCATGAGCGCACCTCAGTCTGTTCGCTTCACACCGTCCTTCTGCGAGCACCCGTCCGCATGCAGTGGCGGAGCTTGTCAAATTCAACGTCTAGGGCCACTACGTAAGTAAGCAAACCATCCACTGATCCACACTATGCCATATAACGACGAGAGACGTGGTGATAGACAACAAATTTTAAACATAACCGCAAAATTTAGCCATTTAGGTGATATTTTAATTCCACGCCTAAATTAATAATGCGCTTTATGAAAACATTAATGCACACAAAGTCTTACCACATTATAGTGATTCATAATATATAGCTTTTTTTTTCTAAAAAGATTGCTCATTAGACAAACCAATTTATATCTTCATAATAAGAATAAGTATGATCCAATTTTATCAAAATTTGAATAAAAATTGTGAAGCAAAGTTAATATTATATACGGAGTAGTATCTAATTTTGATCTCTCTTCATTTCATATTTTCTTGTAGACAAAAAACTGACGCGGCGGAAAGCACTAGCCAGCCGACAAGGATTGTCAGTTTTCCATTTGATATTGCTATAGTTAAGATTATATTTTATACATGTGTGATTAATTAGCTGGGTGCGGCCGTGTGGGGCTCCCACCGTCGGGCCTCGCGCTGTCAGGGCACCCAGCTCGGATGCGTCAGCTGCGCCCCTGCGCCAGGCCGGCGCTGGTGCGGCTCGCAACGCACCGAGGCACCGAGCACGGAGCTCCAGCTGTGTTTGTGCGCCAGCCACCGGTGCCGGGAGGCTGGCTGGAGGCGGCTACCAGCTGGCGCGAGGACGGAGCACGGAGGGCGACGGAGACAAGCAAGTTTGCAGGCTGATGGCGATGAAAGACTGGGCCTCGCGCCTAGCACTGGTGCTTTGTTGCAGGCGGGCCGACTAGGCCACCTCTTAAAAACTATTACCGGGCCATGAAAAATTAAACAGCATAAAAGGGTAGGCCCAAATCCGCCCATGTCCGCATGTTCTCTAGCTTTTAGTGTCGCAACCTACAATAAGAGTATTTCTTTTGCCAAACTCTGAGACAATATAGTTTCATTTAGATTATGGTTTATTTACAAGTTACAATTAGTCGATCATGCTGTTTAGCAAGACTGGGAATACTTAGATGGCTATACAAACACCATGTGTGTATATACATTGGAAATATCATGGAGGGACATGGCTGAATTCTTGTATTGTACGTGCACTATACTGTGTAACACAGTAGATGGGATTATAGTTCCCTCACATTGCATAAGAAAATAGATACCCCAATGGTTATCCGATATCGATCCATCCACAATAAAACACCTTCAGTAGTAGAGATGAAGCATGAAGGCCAACTTCAGGAGGTTTGCTCTGGAATGGCTAGAAATGGCTTGAATGTCCAAATGAGCTCAACAAAGATGACAATGTCCAGAAGGAAGAACACCATCTGATCACCTGTGTATGTACATAACAAATAATGCAATGATAAATTGAATGGTCGATGTAAAAGATCATAACTGATTATGTTCTTTTATCACAATATAACATTATTAATTCTTTTCTGTTAGCTGTTTGGACATCGACGTGGTCTATAAATACATAGTATCGATAATAAATAAGTAGAATGGCTTCGAAAGTATATATGAGTTTCCTTACATATCTAGTAATATCATGTTTTTTTAGCAAACCATAGTACTTTTGTGTATCTTAGTAGTCAATCCATAAAATTTGACCATATTTAATATATAGTGACATTTATTTGAAAATGAAGCTAGTATTGTGATAATTCTTAAGGACCATCTACTCATTCATGTCTTGGGCTGGATACAAAAAACATAGAATATAAGGCATAATTTCAGAACAATCTTGATTCTTTGTTTGTTCCTTTTGACATATTAGTGTATATATATACTAGATGCCACATGGGCAAATTTTCTAGAACAAACAAATGGTTCTTCATGGTGGAACAACACAATCAGAAGTGATTGGGTTTTAAGTAGAAGTCAAGTACTAGAGATATACAACTCAAATAATAAGCATCCAAAGAATGGATCAAGGTATATTATATGACAACGTGACAAGTTAAAAACAAAATCAAAGTTCAACTAGCTTTTATCTGGCTCATGGAAATATAATGTAGCACTCCTCTAGAATAATTCTTGTGAATCACTATACAAAAATAAGTGAGGTTTTCATGAAATGGTTTCTCAATTATGGTTTCATGAAAAAAGCAAATATAGTTTTAAGAAGTTTGATCTTTTTGTCATATTGCATTGTTACCTGGAAAGAGGAAAGCATGTTGGCGTTTTTGTGCCCATGAAAATCTGCATTAATATATCACTTTGATGTCAACTAATCCTTGACATACATCAGTTCAACATCGCATTTAATTTAGGGCAATAATCATTTCTGCATATATTCAAGGATGGTTCTATATCTAATAGCATGTCGTGAACTGCATATCATCAACATGTGCACCTCACTTCTAGAGTAATTTGATCAAACACAATACTGAAGCCTCCAATTAATTTAATACATTTATTGACAAGCTAAAATGTCAGTGGACATGTCGTGTGCATGTACTTGAGTGCAACCTTTCATAATAACCGACATCCCAAGATAAAAGGGAGATGAACCATTGTTAGCTTTAAAACATTATCATGGGAGAAAGAGATGTAACAAGGTGACAATCTATGAATGGTAGATACTCCTATAACTTTGGACAAAATAACAATACCTTTTTCTTATCAAACATATAATTTTTTTCACCCCATTAGTTTGTATGGAATTAATACTACAAGTTTTTTTTTCTATTAATGTGTATTCCTGTTGGAATGTAAAGCCAAAACTTGCAATATGCGAATCAGGTGCTTCTAACAACTTAAACTATGAAGAAAGATTGTAAGGTATACTGAAAAAATACCGAAAAGGAAAACTCCATTCATGTGATCTTGAAACTTCCAAAATATATTTGAAACTTAGTTCTTGCAAAAAGGTGGCAACAAAAAATTTACTTACACAATACCAGCTCCTGCTGGGGCAAATGCCTTGAAAAAGGACATTAACGTAGTTGCTAAGCCATTTGCAGTTGCTCTTTGCTCTTGAGGCTGTTAGTCCGTATAATGGGGTATTTTTAAAGTTTGCATATATAGGAAAGTTTACTTAAATTTAAATAAAATGTTAAGGAACATACCACTGAATTATTCTGAAGAATAAAAGAGCATGTCACAATAGTAACCTAAAATGTATACAACAAACTAATGTTATATGATTTGATAAAACATGTAGCTAATTCTGTTTTTTGTTGCCTCCATTTACAATAAGAAACATAACGTAGAACATCATAAATATCTGTGAATGCAAAACACGTACTCCCACTAATTTTCTCTTTATCAGTATGAATCATATTAATACTTTATCATTACTATGTCTATCATATAAGAACTCACACAATCTTTAACATATTAAAGTTAAATTTTTAGAAATGAACTATTTATATCATTAAGATTCATAAGTTTTATGTGATACTAATATTTTCAGCAAAAGAAACAACTAATGAAAATAATTAAATATATATAAACCATATCTTGGTTATAATGTAAAGAGAAATAGAACAAGCATGTATTGTAATATCAATTGATGCTTCATGTATGCATGCTGTAACACCTCTGGTGTTACGAGCTCGCTTAGCTCTGAGGTTAAGGCCTCCGGGGGGGTTAGCAAAGCAAGTTTTCGGGCTAACAAGTTAAAACGCATATGATAGGAAAAATAAATTCTGCAAATGAAAACAAAATACGACAGGTGTATAGCGCTTAGGTAGAAATGATGAGCAAATGGGGTAGATAACTTTTTGTAACTTTAGATGGTTGATATAAAAAAATGTGTGTTGAATGAGAAGCTATTACACCACTCATGGATATCAAGTAGGGTTTAAAGCTAATTTTTATTGAACAAAAATACTATGAAACTTATACATGGCACTGAAATAAAGTTCGGAGTAGGAACCTTGTAGATAGCAATGAAATACTCATGGTGGGAAAATGACTTTGCTAGCTAACATTTCTACTAGCATATAAATGCAACTTGGAAATCAAGTTTAGTCAAGACTTGAGAGATTTTCAAGTTTGAAAATAGTGCGACAATGCTATGTTAGCCAATTAATTCCGCGCAGTTTAGCTAGACAGTGGTGCCATGTTTCAGCTCTTGTTGGTAGCTCGAGGCACCCTCCTTGGCATGGTGTAGGTAGTTTGGTTCCGAACTCGATGGTTTAGTTTTTAGGGATGATTTAAAATTCGTGCACGACATCCCCTTGGGCTGGCCGATCCCGTGTGCGCGGTCACCATGCTCGGGTGAGTGGCGTCGCGTGGGGGTGCTCGCACCGTCACCTACGCGCACCACGTGTGACCCTGCCGGTGGCGGTCTCGTCGCCGTCGTGCTGTGCGTTGGGCCGAGTCGGTCGCAACCATCTCGTGTCGAGCCGTGCCTTGGCCTCGGGTGCACACACACGCTGCGCCGTGGGCCAGTCTCGGCTGCTGCCGATCGCACGCGCGGGGCTAGGCAGGCTACAACCGCGTTTCACAAGGCCGTGCTAGGCCGCGGGATCGCGGTGGCGTGGCCGTCGTGCGCGCATTGCCGATCAGGAGGTGCCAAGCCAGGCGCCCGCTGCACCATGCAATTCACCTGCCTGCCTAAGCACTCCTGCCCTGTTATCTCATCGCACTGCTGCTTGTCACGGACTCGCTGGACTCCTGCGCAGTTGTCGTTGCATCGGCCCCGCACGACCATCGCTGCATTACTCGATTGTCCGTGTCCGCCATGAGTCGAGCCGTCCCATCTCGGTGTCCCACAGCAAGGTCCCTCTGAACCTCACCGAGCGGATGCTCCCATTCATTTAATGTAGCCTTGGTCGAGGTTGTTCGGGCCTTGTAGCCGCTGCTCTGTCTGTCTTGCCGCCACCGGAGCCACGCAGCTTTGCAACTTCATGCGTGGTTGTGGTTTCTCCATCGATTCAGCACTCCTGCAGCTTGGTAGGGCATCCAGCTAGCTGACCCAATTGTACCTAGGCGCCGGTGAACTTGGGAGGTGGCCAATTTGGCGTTTCGGTCATCGCCGGCCATGGGCGCCGTCGCAGCCAAGGGGTTTGGGGGTAAGTCCCACTCCGTGGGGAATGAACCTAATTGATGGTGTTTCTAGGCTGGTGTTGATTCCCTCGATTCGGTGCTCGCTTCCTTTTATCCAGACGTGCGTCGTCGACGTGCTGACGCGCCGGTGTCGGCCTCGGAACGCCGCCGCGCGGTGCGGGCATACGTGGCCAGGGTGTAACAGAACCGACCAAATCATAAGAACGTAAGTACAAAAACAATCACCGAAGCGATCAAATTCCTGTACTTAAGCTCCCATAATCCTGGTAGTCCGAAAATCACGAAGGATTTCAACCAACTCTCGACATATAAACCAAGACCGTAGTGATTCAACACAACACATCATCCGTTACAACATTTCATAAGTAGCATTCGGATTACATCCATCGAGTCTTAATAAAATATTACAAACCAGGTTCAAATTTGCGGAAGCAACATAGTTTAGTACATAACTTCATAGTTTCAAATACATTGCCAAGTCTCTGAGTCATGTCCCACAAAAGCATTATCAGTACGAGAACTAGTAGAGACCGCTACCAACGGCCTAGTCTTCATCCCAAACTGGAGAAGGCAAGATTTGCAACAACCAAAGTAGAACTGGTCATCTACAACAGGTGGGAGATAAACCCTGAGTACGAGAAGGTACTCAGCTAGACTTATCCGTCAAAACTAAAAATAAAAGACACCAAGGATCATGCAAGGCTTTTCAGGTGGGCTAGCTTGACACTGTTGCATAAAAGAGCTTATGATTATAGTAACCAATTTAAACTTAGCATCAAGCTTATCATTATTTACCCGTCCACTAGATTAGCACTGTGTACTAGAGCACTCACTTATTAGGAGCAAACAATATTAACCATAGCAGTATAATAAGGTTTGTCATCATCATATCATTAATTTTGAACCATTATGTTATTTAGTGTATCTACATTGGAGATAAGCCCATCAAGTTCTCACTAACCGGGAGAGACAGCGACTCGAATCGAATTACAACTCAGCTGAGGGGGTATTCCTAACTCTCACCCTGGCATACTTAGCAAAGGTAGTTGTGGGTTACCTTTGGTACAACTCAGGAACCAAATTCGCGGGTTCGATCAGCGCCAGCACTCTCAGGGATTACCCTTCTGCCAGGATGACCAGGACTTTTAAATCACCTGCCCTTGGACTCACGCCTACGGCTCCCTTCCGAGGCGCACTTTATACTTATCGACTCCCGGCCTGAGGTGAGCTACTCGGCTTCGCGATCGGTCTTCAGACACGGCCAACTAAGAGAGAGGCATGCGTTCAACATGAACAGGAAAGGCTCCAAGAATCAGTCCTTAAGCGACACAGACGGAGTCACTGCAAACCGGCAAACCTCCGTCCGGTCTTCATTTCATATTAAGACTGGTTCTTTTCCATGATAGCAAATATAGCCAACCATGCCATATGTATCTTCCTATATCTCGCAGGTGACAGGAAATCACCTGACTTCTACCGTGTTTAAGCAGGGCTAAGCACTACACGAGCCTGAGCTACATAGGATTCAGGGTATCAATATCTGGACAAGGATTGGATAACCAATGCAGCAAATGTTTTCATCCAACACCTAAACTTAATGCAACAATATATGTAAGAATACTGTAACTGCATTTCAGAAATTAGGAGGCTTAATATGCTTCGGGGCTTGCCTTTCACAAAGTTGCAAGGACGGTGATTCGGGCACTCAACGACGACCTCGTCTGGCACTTCTCCTGAAGGCTGCACCTCCTGAACCTCCGGTGTCGGCTGCTGCTGCTCGCTCGGTTCCTCGAATTCCAGCAGTGTTACTCCCTCCGATACACCTATTGCATGTCGATGCACAAGATAAATATCATGGATGCATAAGGAATGACATGATGCTCATGATGGGTGAATCACAATGAAGTGTTTACGAAAGCATCACCGGACACTCGCTTTTGAAAGTAAGACTAGCCCTATTCAAATCACTTTAAAACAGTATCTAATTTAACTTGAAGAACAAGATCAACTTACCTAACTTGCATAACCTAAGATAAAGATGCTCATCTTCAGTTAAAGGCCTAACACCTAGGAACATTACCACAAACTTAGAAATAGTAAAGGCATACATAAATCAACATTTAAAGTTTCATATGCACACAAGTAGTCCCTTAATTCAATCACACCAAGAGTTATACAAATCCAAATGACTTGCATGAGGACATTCTGGAAAGCTTATGAAATTCTCTACAAATCATTTGTAAACATCAAAGCATGATTCTTAAGTTAACCAAATCGAATTCTAGTAAACCTAGAATCTGTCCAGAAATGACAGGGTTACTAAATTAATTATTTAATGATGATGCAAAAGCATAATTGGACCAACCCAAGTTTACCAACATGTTTTTCCTACCCAAGAAACATCAGAAAGTATAGTGCCACCTTCTAAATAAATTATTTAATATCCTTTTCCAATTTATTTAGTTAATTAGGTGATTAAAGCAATATATAGTAAAACTATTCATAAAAATCTACAAAATTTACAGTAGCTATCTCATGCTTCACCTAGACTACCATAAAAATTTCAAAGCCATTGAGCAAGCAGAACTTGCTGTATCCAAAATAACAGGTGGCATGCCTATTTTTAGCATAATTAGGAAACCCTAATGAAAAGTGTCAAGCAATAGATTTCACATTTTTCTTAGCATCATTCTAGCATAAGAACCTTACTCACCAAATTTTACCTATACTGGATCTATAGAAAAATTATGAAAATTCACACAAGATCCATCCATTAATAAAAAGAAATTCTATAACTCAAAAACTATGCATGCACTAGCTCTAAAATTTTAACCAGAGATTCTACTAAGCAATAATAGATTACCCACAAAATTTCATCATTTTTGGACCACAGAAACTCAAGATAAAATTCAAACAAGTTTGCATGTATCCAAAAACACATTTCAAAGTCCTATTTAATTTATCCAGAATTTCTAAAACATGTGCTCATATAATATTTTTATTAAATACTAGACATGACCAGGAACTTAACAAAATTGGAACCATAACATTTGGATCTACCAAACTTGAGTTACACATTTTTGAATCTATACCCAAAACTGTGAAAAACAATTAAACAAAACAAAATGGAAAAACCTACACAGCTACTGGGCCAGCCCAAGGAAATGGCGGCCCGCGAGCAACGCTGGCGCGGCCCAGACAACGGCGCGGCCCACGCTAGGCTCCCGCCTCAGCCGCGGCGACTGACGAGAGGGGCCCGCGCGTCAGCGAGAGAAACAGGGGAGAAGAACAGGGCGGCAGCGAAGCTCATCGCCGGTGACCTCTCCGGTGAAACCATCGACGCTACTGTGTTCGCCTTACTCGTGCGCACCTAGTGGAACCATCTATTGAAGCTATCGTCGCTGGTAAGGGTAATGGCGACAGCCATGGTGGCGCACGGCCGCGGCTTGACCGGCTCCGACGAAACTACGGCGCTAGGGCTCGAATGGGTGACCCTACGAGCATCAGTGGCATGCACTGGTCCTAGCGCAAGGCAGAGGAGGGATGGCAAGGGCGCGAGGAGAGCTAGCCGCGTGGAGCGCTAACTCCGGCGAGGCCCGACAAGGCGGTGGTGGGAAAAAACGGCGATTTCATCCTTACCAAGGCGAAATTGGCACGACGGTGGGGTGGAGGAGGTAGAGGGAAACACGGCGAGGCTCTGGGTGAGCTGGGCGACGTGTTTTTGCCAGGACGCGGGAGCTAGGCGAGGGCGAAGGTCCGGCTGGCAATGGCGAACGGCTTCAGTGCTGCGCGCTGTGGGAGGCGAGAGATGAGAAATGGAGCGGCGACTCGGTTGGGCAGGCGCTGGGGTGCTTCATGACACGGCTGGCCTTGCTAGGGCGCCCGCGGCGCGTGGCCTGCGCGCTCAGGCGATCGGCGACGGGTGGCGTCACGCGGTGGTGAAAATCTGAACCTGTCGAAACACCGTAGCACGCCATTCAGTCGATTTGATCAGCCTGACAGCGCGACTTCAACGCATTATCCTGACTAATCTGTTGCTCGTTTGCAAAAACAGTGTACATGAAAATTGTAGGCCTACCATCCATCTACCATTTATTTTCAAGGACCATCATCTAATTCGCCATGGATCAGAAGTTAAATGAAGCCCAAGTTGGCCTGATCCAACTGAAAATGCAGTTTAAGACTTAGACAAATTTTTTAGTGAAATCAGCATGGACATCTGACTTGTGGGCCTTGTTTGAACATGTTCTAGCCATTTTCATGAGATGGTCATATTGAGACTTTTGTTCCTTGATAAATTGGCTACAATTTTGGTAAAGAGTGCACAGCCATGAAAGGTCTCTAAGTTGGTCTTTTGAATCAGTCAAACTGTGAGACTCTGGAGTCAATTCAAGTCAAACCTCCACTTGAGGGCATTTTGGTCATTTTGATCTTAATGAACAATGTCCCAACAAGTAACCTAAGTGTAGTTAAGGTGTAATAGACCATGATCAACCACTTTACAAAATTGTTATACCACTTCTAAAGATCACATGTGATAAAGCAATTAAAACAAGCAATTCATTCATATGTTTCAATTCCATGTTTCACATGTTTCATGACCTTGTGGTTATTTTATACTTGTCATATTACTACCATGTTAGC